AAAACCAGTTCAGAACCAGGACCAGTTCAAAACCAAAACCAGTTCAGAACCAGAACCAGTGCCTTTTACTGAGCGGTCAGGGAGGAGAGCACAGAGGTTCGGAACCAGGAGAACTTTCTATAGAAACCAAAAACAATGAGAAAACAGGCCTGAGGGCAACAATGTGAAGTAAAGCAGCAGAGAGATGAAGATGGTCTTCATGTTCTCCAGCAGCTGAAGCCTACAGCAGCTTCAGAGTTCAGGAAGAGCGATGAGTGATTGATTATTTTCTATTTCATTCTGGTTTATCAGGGAACAACAGAAAGGAGCCAAGATAGGATTCAAATATTTCTATTTTGATCAGAAGTGCTTTGAATCATCTAAGGACTTTATATAACAAATGATTTTAAAAACAGATGTTCTGGAATTTGTTAAATAACCCATCCTGATCCAGTTCTGGTTCTGGTTCTGGTTCTGGTTCTAGTTCTAGTTCTGGTTCTGGCTCTAGTTCTGGTTCTGGTTCTGGCTCTAGTTCTAGTTCTGGTTCTAGTTCTAGTTCTGGTTCTGGTTCTAGTTCTGGTTCTGGTTCTGGTTCTAGTTCGGATTTGGTCTGTGTTTGTATCTTGGACTAGAACCAGAACTAAATCCTCGCGCCCTGTTTCCGCTGGGACAGTTTCTGCTGCCCCCCTGTGTTCAGACGGTGTAACTGCAGCAGCTCAGCACCGACCTGCTGCAGCCTGAAGGGAACCTCTGAGCAGCTCAGAAGGTCCCGGTGTGTCTGAGATGCTCCCAGAGGTGGAAGGAGGATCTGGAGCGGACCTTCTGGGTCCAGATGTTCCTCAGCCTGAGCCAGGCTGCAGCAGGAAGTGAGGTCACTTTATTCCTCCTGCAGACTGAACTTTGACTTTACTTTCATTTTCTGGGTGAGGAAGACAGACTCAGAGCAAATAAACCCAGAGCGACTGGTTCTGCTGGGTCCGCTCCATTCAGGGTCGGATCCTCCTCCTCTGATGGGGGAACCTCTGCTGAAGGTGACCCAGAAGGCTGGTGATTCTGTGAGCGGACCGGTCCGGACCCTCAGGGTGAAGATGGTTCTGCTGGGAAGCTCTGGAGTCGGAAAGTCCAGCCTGGCTTTGAGATTCGGAGAGGATCGCTTCAGGAACACGTCTCCCACTGTGGGCTGTGAGTCTCTGAGCAGAACTGAACCAGAACCTCTGCTTTTCATTGTTATGGGTTCTGCTGAACCGGGTCGGTTAGAACAGGTTCATTAAATAAGATCTGAAGCCAGCAGAGATGTTGGGTCTGAGTTCTGCTGGAGTCCAGGTTCATTCGACAAGGAGAGAAAAGCAGGTTAGAACCAAAGGTCAGCAATTAGTGACTGATTTCCAGACAGAACCGATCCGATTGGCTCTGCTTCCTGATGTTTCTAGGTGTGCTGGGAACTCTGGGCCTTCAGAGGTTCCCCTCACAGTACCGTAGAACCCTGCTGAGGTCCATGTGTTTGGTTCTGGTCCACAGTCCCGGCCCGGGAGTTTAAGATAGAATAGAAAATCCCTTTATTGTCCCACAGTGAGGAAACATGGTGTTACAGCAGCAAAGGTTATAGCAGAAGAGGGTGGACCTTAGAAAAGAGAATAAAAATAAAAGATAGGAAAATAAAACAAATAGACTATTGTGCTGCAGAATGTTTTTACAATATAAATACTCTATCTGCAGAATAAATAACCAATAAACTGCTCATTTTAAAGTCATTGTTCCAGTAGTTTGAAAATAGCAGCTTAATCAGAGACGTGCAGAATGACAGCAGCAGGTTATTTAACTGACTGAGGTAGAAACTGAGCAGAATCAGCATGAATGGAAGAACTGGTTGAGGTTACTGGGAACAGTGGTGGTTCTAGAGTCTTCCAGCTGCTGGGAGGAAGGATCTGTGATAACGCTCCCTGGTGCATTTAAGGTGCAGCAGTCTGTCACTGAAGGAGCTGTCCAGTTCAGCACCAGCTGAACCAGCATGGTTCAGCTGGTGCTGAACTGGACAACAGACCGACCCTCATTTAGTGAGGGTCGGTCTGTTTCCTGCTCTGAGTCCAGAGGGCATCCAATCACAGCTGGCCTTCCTGATCAGCTGATCCAGCCGCTTCCTCTCAGCTACAGATGAGCCGCTGCTCCATAGAAGATGGCTGATGCCGTCAGCAGCTGATCCTTAGTGTCTGTGTTCTGATTGGTGGCTTCCTCCAGGTGCCTACCTGACCCAGCTGGTCCACCTGAGAGATGTCTCGCTCCGCTTTGAGATCTGGGACACGGCAGGGCAGGAGAAGTACCACAGCGTGACGCCGCTGTACTACAGAGGAGCCCACGCCGCCCTGGTGGTCTATGACATCAGCAGCAGGGTGAGAGCCGCAGACGCCCCGCTGAGGAAACATCTCAGCCTGCTTCACCTCCTCCTCCTCCTCCTGCAGGACACCTTCATCAGAGCCCAGCTATGGATCCAAGAGCTGGAGAAGCAGTACATCCCAGGATCCACCGTCCTCTGGCTCGTAGGCAACAAGGCAGACCGGGATCAGAACCGGCAGGTTTCAACTCAGGTAGGAGTTCAACATTCATCAGTGTGATGGCGGTGGGGAAGAAGCTGCTGCAGAACCTGCTGGTCCCTCATTGGGTTAGGGAGAACAGTCTATGGTGGGGGGGTGAGAGGAGTCATTGATGATGTCACAGGCTCATGACATCATCAATGACCCCTCACACTACATCTCCAAAAGAAGTGGACCAGAACCAAAGAAGGGAAATATCCATAAAATCTGGAGAACCTTTGATGAAAAACCTAAAGTTCAGCTGATCTGGTGTCAATAAATGACCAGCTGATTGCATCGACTCATTGACTCTTCAGCAATCCCTCACACTAAGCATGCTTGTAGCGACAGTGGAGA